CTCCTGCCAAACGTCTTTGTGCCTTTCCTTGTGCTCTTGCTAATCGCTTCATTTGGCACGGCATTTTGGACATAAATTAGAGGGTGGCTGTAAGGAAAAGATCTGAAAGTAACTGAGGAAAGCCATGAAAATGAGAGGTAACACGAAAAACCAGAGAGCTGGGCAAGGTTTCAAAGGGCCAGGCACGCTTGGCCTTGAGCGGATGTCACCGTGGGGAGCCGTGGTGACAGTTTTCTAACACACGAGGAATGCGAGGAGCAGAAAGGGATCCGTTTTTCCACTCAACAGCCAGAGCAGAAGGAGCAGGGCTGTCTTAGGTTTCAGCCAGAAAAACATGTGTCACGTGACTGAGCCATAGGAGAAGGGAGCCGCAGAAAGGCCCACTGAGATCATCTGGGCCAGAGAAGCTTGCAATGAGATCCCAGTCGTCCAGGTCACTGTCCAGCAGGGCTGACATCAACGACACCTGAATTGCACAGGGTCTGACCCCCACCAGGCTCTATGAAGGTCACCCCACTCCCTGGAAAGCTCTGGAAGGGCCAGTGCCCATTCCAGCTGACAGGTTTGCTTCAGATTGCCAGGAATCCAAGAGACACTATGCACCCCTGCAAAACATTTGAGTTTGCCTTGTTACCTGGAGGCCCAGATTCCAGCCATATTTATTCCTGCCCTGCAGGCAACTCCTGTCTTCCCAGGAACAGCAGCAACAGCAGCAATGACGACAGCCATCACACCAGGGACAACAATAGCCATACACCAGGGGCAGCTCTGAGCTATCGGGCATTCGCTCTGTGCCAGCGCTGACTCCCATGCCTTCATGCATGCCTCAGTGTCTTCGTAAGACCCATTTCATAGAAGAAACAGGCTGGGAGAGCCACTGGCTTGCCCCTGCCCCACTGCTGGTCACCTCTGGGATGAGATCTGAGCCCAGGCTTCTCTGACTTCAGAGTCCACGATCACGAGCACACCACTACGTTGCCAGGAACAAAGTACGCACATCAGACACCCAACACAGCATCGATACCAATGTGGCCCCCGAGACCCTCGGGGTCGGCAGGGTCTGGTCCCTCATTACCCTTCAGTAGCATAGAGAACAGGAACCTTTTTTTTTTTAAGAGAGGTTTTTGCTATAGGGCGCATGCGCTCACCAGACAGAGAGAGAGAGAGCGAGAGAGACATAGAGACAGAAAGCGAGAAATCATCCCCCAGGGGGGTTGGTCACGCCGCAATCCCTTCTCCTCCATTCTCCTCTCGGGATCTTGGGCACGCACACACACGCGCCTGGCGTGAGTTTTTTAAGCCACTGGGTCCAGAACGCGAACTGCGGTTGACTACGTGGGAGTCCAGCAACATAGCCATTACGCTAACTGCTGGTTGAGAACAGGAACCTTTTAAATATCACACACTCGGCCTTCTCTCCCTGGGTCACTCCCAGCATAAACATGCTGCTCTGGATCTGGTGATATTTAAAGCCAATCTCTCTTGGGGCCAGCAGGTGGCGTGGTGGTTAAGGTGCTAGACTCCCACATGACTGACTATAGTTCGAATCTCAGACCTGGCAGCTCTCTCGCTCTCTCTCTCTCTCTCTCTCTCTCTCTATCTCTCTCATGCACTCGCATGCCCTATAGAAAATAAAACTAATCTCTCCTGGAAGGCCCCTCGTCTTCCCTGCCTACACTACTCCATACCTTGTCCCATGCACCCTACCACTCATCTCATGAACTAACAGAGCTGCTAGCAATGGGGACATTTCTCAGTACTGTCACCGGCTCTTGAACTGTCAAGGAGTGCAGTTTCCCCGTGGCCCTCCAGTGCTGACAGCAGGGGTGTTTCACAGGTGCCAGCTCTCCTCCCGGAGACCTCGGTCAGGATTATGTGAAGGCTCTTGTTACCAGCAGGGACACTGTGCAGACACTGCTATAAGAGCTCCAGATAACCTGACCAGATTTTATCCCACCTCCTCTTCAGAGCAATCTGAGGCTCCTCTCGCTTCTCTGCTTTGTCTCTTTCTGGGATCTGGAACATGGCTGAAATGGCATCCTTCACAGACTTGAATGGGTTTTCCTCGGTACTTCAGTGCTCCCTGTGTTCACACCCTCAGCACAAAACTGTCCCGGGTCTCACTCGTGAGAGTTCAGCCAAGGGGCCAGCTGTGCCCCTCGCTACATGGGGCTTCAGAACTGAACGTCCACCTGGTTCCATTGAAAGAGCCACTGCAAAGTCAGCCGTGGTGTGGAGGTTAAGTGAGTCTAATTCCAGATGGCTGACTGGGCTGTTCGAATCCCAGACCCTGCAGCTTGAAAACCACACCAGCCACATACGTGTCCCCCAAATCCTTACAGGAGGGAGAGATGAAGGAGAAAGGATTGTGGCATGACCATTCCCCATGGGGGCCTTTCTCATGTTCCCTTTCTCCCCCCACTCTCCAGGTCCCCCAGCAAGTGCACACATCCTCTGGAAAATTAAAAAAAAAAAAAAAAAGGAAAGAAAGAAAGAAAGAAACACTGAAAAATAAGCACAGGAGCTGGGAGGGTGGAAGGGAGGGGGATGTAAGTTCCTGTGTTCAGTGCTGATCACACATGTCGACAGCATCCTCATTGCACCCACTCATAGAAGAGCTCATGAGGGACCAGCAGTTAGCGTAATGGCTGTGTCGCTGACCTCCTGTGTAGTTGACCACGGTTCGAGTCCTGGACCCGGTGGCTTAAACTCACACCAAGTGCATGTGCGTGTGTGCCCAAGATCCCAAGAGGAGAATGGAGGAGAAGGGATTGCGGCGTGGCCATCCCCCCTGGGGGGTGATTTCTCGCCTTCTGTCTGTCTGTCTCTTTCTGTCTTTCTGGCGAGCGCACATGCTTTTTCGCTCCTCTCCTCCACCTCTCTATCTCTCTCATGCCCTCGCATGCCCTATAGAAAATAAAACTAATCTCTCCTGGAAGGCCCCTCGTCTTCCCTGCCTACACTACTCCATACCTTGTCCCATGCACCCTACCACTCATCTCATGAACTAACAGAGCTGCTAGCAATGGGGACATTTCTCAGTACTGTCACCGGCTCTTGAACTGTCAAGGAGTGCAGTTTCCCCGTGGCCCTCCAGTGCTGACAGCAGGGGTGTTTCACAGGTGCCAGCTCTCCTCCCGGAGACCTCGGTCAGGATTATGTGAAGGCTCTTGTTACCAGCAGGGACACTGTGCAGACACTGCTATAAGAGCTCCAGATAACCTGACCAGATTTTATCCCACCTCCTCTTCAGAGCAATCTGAGGCTCCTCTCGCTTCTCTGCTTTGTCTCTTTCTGGGATCTGGAACATGGCTGAAATGGCATCCTTCACAGACTTGAATGGGTTTTCCTCGGTACTTCAGTGCTCCCTGTGTTCACACCCTCAGCACAAAACTGTCCCGGGTCTCACTCGTGAGAGTTCAGCCAAGGGGCCAGCTGTGCCCCTCGCTACATGGGGCTTCAGAACTGAACGTCCACCTGGTTCCATTGAAAGAGCCACTGCAAAGTCAGCCGTGGTGTGGAGGTTAAGTGAGTCTAATTCCAGATGGCTGACTGGGCTGTTCGAATCCCAGACCCTGCAGCTTGAAAACCACACCAGCCACATACGTGTCCCCCAAATCCTTACAGGAGGGAGAGATGAAGGAGAAAGGATTGTGGCATGACCATTCCCCATGGGGGCCTTTCTCATGTTCCCTTTCTCCCCCCACTCTCCAGGTCCCCCAGCAAGTGCACACATCCTCTGGAAAATTAAAAAAAAAAAAACAAAGGAAAGAAAGAAAGAAAGAACCAC